TACACAACCATGTTAACTGTAGTGGGTAGCGGTAGCGCAAAGCGTATTTCAGCTCTCAGATTACCCGTTTTGATAAGTGAATAATGCCCTGTGCACTCAGTCGTCGGGGCTGAGGGTGAATGCGAACAGTGCGTAACCGTGCGCGTACTCCTCGCGGTCCCCCAGAAGTGGTTTGTCTTTCAGACGCTTTCCGGCTGTTTCCACCAGATTAAAATATTCACGGACGCAATGTCCATTCTGGCAGTCTGGTTGAAGCGGTTTATTGGGGATTTGTTCACCGTCCGCGTAGAGAGCCAGAAAGTTAACGTTTTAGTGTTTAAAATTGAAGGGGGTTTGTGTAAAACAGCCGCTGAATGCTGCGTTGCCCACAAACCCCCAAAATGACCACTTTGCGTAACTGTCCGAGAAAGAGGTTTTCATGGTTACACACACGGCTCCCTGCAGGCAGACTGAAGACTTTCATCTGTACGCGGTCTATGGGGTATTTAGCGTTGGCAGTCAGGAGTGCTTCGGCGTGTCCCAGTCTGATCCCGGGTGACACTCCGACTCTTTTCACAAAGATGCAGAGAGTACGCTCAGTTTGTGTTCTCCGACGTTGTTCATTAAGCAGAAAGCATATCTTTTGCGCGTGAGTTTTATTTTCAGGTCCACGCCATTCAGTAGTAGTTTGTCCTGAAAAAACAGGTCTGCGTGAATGTGACCCAGGAGCTCCAGTGTTCGGCTTTGCGTCGTGTATGATGCTCTTTTTCGGAACCCCTGATTGAGACCATCCAAAATTGTGGACTCGTGTTGCCCGGCTGTGTCTTTGTAAAAGAGCCCTATTGAATACTGCGTCTTCAGCGTCTCTTCACTGTAGGCAGGGGGTTCCGACCCTTAACGACACACCATTGGCTCCCGAGGGGGCGGGGCATGCACCCATAACAACACGCCATTGGCTGGCAAGGGGGCGTGACATCCACCCACCGCTGACTCCCATTGGCTGGAAAAAAGGGGGCGTGGTACATGTCAAGAGTTTGACGAAAGGTGTCGCTTTGTACTACTTTATAGTACTCGCAGCTACCCACCTTCATATGGACTTGGTGACGTCAGCGTACATACACATAGAAAGTTTCTAAAACGCCAGCATTATCTCCTTACAGCAATGCTATCAAACACTAGTTAACACGTTACTGTGTCTTTATATTCGTACAATAAAGCCTAACTATCTGACACTGCTGGAGATTAGGATAATGGGTAGAGATGAACTGATTAAGTTTTATTTTGGGGAGTTATTAGGGCATTGTAGCTCCTGTACTCTTGAACTCCTAGTTAGGACTGCACCTCTCTTTCACTGCTAGTGCCAGACCAGTCCTCGCGAAGCAAAGAGTTAGAAAACGGTATTTCGTTCAATGAATTAAAGATAACGATGGAACGATTTTGCTATTTCGTGCGCACAAATTATAAATCGTTCCCTCGACATAATTCCCCCCCCCCACTGATGGCCCCTCCCGGGCTCCGTAGTATGACATCATTTCTTTAGTTCGGCACTTCTGCATAACTCAGACAACAAGTCCTGATTTCGAAAGAGGAATAAGAACAGGCTGGAAAGTTTGTTCTTTGGCTGCCTTCTGCTTTAGTTTGGGACACGGGAATAAAAAAAAGGGATAATTTATTAGAATTTAACAAGGGCCGAATTTCACAAAACGTGTCAAGAAGCAGACACATAGGTTGATAAAAAAAGACCTCCCTGCTCCTTCTCTTTCCCCACGTGTGAGTCAGAGATTCAGCCCCCCCATGAATCCATTATCTCCTAACGGATGGGTAGCTGGAAGAGGACAGCAGTATGGGCTTGCGTTAATGGATCTGGACTCACAGATGACCCAAACCCTGCTTGGGGCTCTACAGCACACCTGTATACTGTACCACACCTCCTCAGATTGCTTCGGTATGAATGTATACAAACAGGTGCCAAGATGGACTGGCTTCCCATCCAGGGTGTAACCCGCCTTACGCCTGTAGCATGCTGGGATAGACTCAGGCTCCCCCCCACGAGCCTGACATGAAAGAACCAGTAAGAAAATGGACAAATGGATATAAAAACAAGGCAGACAAAAGTGTCCTGTTGATCATTTCATAATGGGGACTAATGTTTGGAAAACAGCACAATCTGGTATGAAATTAGCAACACTGTCATTTTGTTCATGGTAGAGCAAGACAATGTTGTGTAACTTTGCACTGTGTGCCACGACATTTTGTTGTCTTCAGTCCAAAAAACAAACAGTGTTTCAGCACTTTTCTGTGTGCAGGGGCACCACTGAGGTGGTGGAATGAATGGAGTAATGGTGGGAATAAGGATTTCTTTCCTTTTCTACCCTTTATAAGAGGTGAAATTCGATTTCAGCCCATTGAATTGGCTAAATTTCACTCCGGATTTGGACATTCTGGTTGTAACAGACTCTGTACAATGACTCTGGTCATGTGGAGGAAAAGCACCTTGTGACTGGACATGAAGCATACAAAACTGAGACCTGAGAGAAGTAATGTTGTCATAGTGAGAAAGAGAGGCAGGAAAGCTAACAGGAAGCTCTTGGGGCATTCCACACATTGCACCACAATTATCTCACCCTCGAGACACTGTTACGTTTACACGGCCTTTTTAGTTGTTGTGTGACTTAACGCAATTAATTAATTGAATGAGACGTTAACCAGGGGCAGCACAGTCCGAGTGCTTCTGACAGAATCATGTGAGCTCCCAGAGGCTGAGCTTGTGTCAAAAATGAATTAACTGACATGATGCTGCATACTGCTTTCACATTTTTAACTTTATACACTTTCAAGATTGATGAAGGTTTTTCCCGTAGGTAATTTACGTCATTTCTTAAATGTGTGCAGTGCCAGAATTCTTCGATGCTTGATATTCACTACCTGACCAAGGAGCCTCACAGACAGGTGTTTATTTTGGACTCATTAGAAGGGTTCGTGGGCAAAAGAGGAGCATACCCATGCAGACATGACTTTTCCTTTAAAAGGAAAACCGTGCAAGCATGTTTTTTTTTTTGGTTTTTGTGTTGTTTGTGTGCTGTACATTGCTTGTACAACAAATTAACAGCTACTTCAAGTTTGGCTTTGAATGTGTGCAGTACATTGTTTATACAACAAATTAACAGCTACTTCAAAGTTGTGTCTGAAAGCTTTAAAACAACAAAATGAAAAGTGCCTGAATATTTTTGTAAGGCACAGTATTTTTGTTTACATGTGTTTTTATCCTGAATGGACTCTCCCATTAAACCGCTTTCCATGAGTTTACAATCTAGTTCTACTGCCTCAGTGTACAATATCTAACACCGCTGGGTCCTCCTGTCCACAGGATGGCACTGCTCAGCTTCCCTGTTCCTGAT